CATGAAGATCCTGCAATTTCATCACTGGCTGATCTATAGGTTCGTGAAAGCAGGAAGTAAAGGCTGAGGCAAAATTGTAAACAGCCTAGCCAAGTTTTATAGGAGTGTCTCAAAATGGAGCAAATACACAAATAATGGGAGAGGGTTTTTGTTTGTTTGATTTTAAAGCTCCTTGCATTCAAGAAATCTTTAGTCAAAACACTGACCACAAGCTAAGCCTTCAACAGTTAGGAATGGCAAGCTCTGGGGAAGGAGGGGAATCTGATTTCCAGAAATTATACATTATAATATTTGAATGTCCAGTTTTCAACACAAAATCACAAAGCATACAAAAAATTAGGAAAGTATGGGCCATGCAAAGGAAAAAATTAATTAACAGAAACTGTTTCTGAGGAAGCCCAGGCATTGGACTTACATTAAATCAACTATATTAAATATGCTCAAAGAGCCAAAGGAAGCCAGAGACAAAGAACTAAAAGAAATTAGAAAAATGATGTATGAACAAACTGAGAATATCAATAAAGAGAAATTCTAAAAAGGAATCAAACAAGTCCTGGAGTTGAAAAGTATAATAACTAAAATGAAAAATGTACTACACGGATTCAACAGCAGATTTGAGTAAGCAGATGAAATCAGCAAATTTGAGGACAGGGCAATTGAGACTACTCAGTCTGAGGAGTAGAAAGGAAAAAGAATGAAGAAAAATGAACAGCCCTGGAGACCTGTGGGATGCCCTCAAGTATAACAACATATACCTAGTGGAAGTCCCAGGAGAAAAGGAAATAGATAAAGGGACAGAAAGAATATCTGAAGAAATAATGGCTGAAAACATCCCAAATTTGATGAAAGACATGAAAATACCTACCCAAGAAGCTCAACCAACTCCAAGCAGAATAAACTCGAAGAGTATTATATTAAGACACATTAGAAACAAATTGTCAAAATACAAAGAGAGAATCTTGAAAGCAGTGAGAAAGAAATGACTCATCACACACAGATTCTCTGTAAGATTATCAGCTTTCTCACCAGAAGCCATGGAGGCCAGAAGGCAGTGGGATACATATTTAAAGTGCAGAAAGGAAAAAACAAGAACCTGTTGTATTGGTCAGAATTCTCCAGAGAAAGAAAACCAATAAAATAAATACGTGTGTGACTCTGTGTGTGTGTGTGTGTGTACATATACATACACAAATATATATATATTATACATATATACACATGCTCCTTAACTCACAATGAACTTAAGTCTTGATGAACTCATCGTAAGTTGAAAATATTGTAAGTTAAAAATGCATTTAGGGCACCTAACATACTGAACATCATAGCTTAGCCTAGTCTACTTTAAACACGCTCAGAACACTTACATTAGCCTACAGTTGGGCAAAATTATCCAATACAAAGTCTATTTTACAATAAAATGTTGAATATTTTACATAACTTATTGAATACTACACTGAAAGTGAAAAACAGAATGGGGTTGTATGGGTACTCACCATTAATGTACACAGCTGAAAGCATCAGCATATAGTCAAAAATCGTAAGTCAAACAATTGTAAGTCAGGGACCATCTGTGTGTGTATGCGTGTGTGTGTGTGTGTGTATATATATATACACACACAAACATACTATATGAACTATATGACTTGTTTGGTTCCTTTTTAGAATTTCTCTTTATTGATATTCTCATTTTGTTCATATAATTTTAATTATAAATCTATCTATCTATCTATCTATCTGTCTATCTATCTATCTATAGAGAGAGAGAGAGAGAGAGATTTTGAGGAAATGGTTCACAGGCTAGACTACAGATAGAAGTAGAGTTTCTATGTTGCAGTCTTGGGGAGAGTCCCTTGTTGTTTGAAAAACATCAACATTTGTTCTCTTAAGGCCTTCAACTGATTGAAGGAGGCTCACTAAACGTTTTCCCCCTAAGATCAAGAACAAGGCAAGGATGCCCCACCTTTGCCACTTCTATTTAACATAGTATTAGGAGTACCAGAAAGATAAATTAGGCAAGAAAAAGAAATAAAAGTCATCTAAATTGGAAAGGAAGAAGACTACCTCTATTTGCAGATTGCATGATCTTATATCCCAAAACTGCTAGTGTTCTTAAAAAAAAAGTTGGTAGTGCTAATAAATGAAATTGACAAAGTTGAAGAAATTAACAAAATTAACATACAAAAGCAGTTGTATTTCTACACACTAGCAATGATTGATCTAAAACGGAGATAAAGAAAACGATTCCATTTATAATAGTATTTAAAAGAACAAAACACTTAGGAATATATGCAAACAATTAGGTGCAAGTCTTATACACTGAAAACTATAAAAGTTGCTAAAAGAAATTAAGGAAGATCTAAATAAATAAAAATGTATCCTGTGTGCATGGACTAAAAGGCTTAACATTGTTAAAATAACAATACTACCCAAAGGATTATACAGATTCTATGCAATACCTATAACATTCCCCATGGTGTTTTTTGCAGAAGTGGGAAAACCTATCCTAAAATTCACAGGGAATTGCAAGGTACCTAAAATAGATAAAACAATCTTGAGAAAAAACTAAGTTGGAAGACTCACATTTCCTGATTTCAAAACTTACTAGAAAGCTACAGTAATCAAAATCATGTGATACAGACATAAGGATAGACATATAGAGCAATGGAATAGAATTGAGAGCCTAGAAATAAAAGTTCACAATGACTGATATGAATGAATAGTTGATTCTTGACATGGGTGCGAAGACCATTCAATGGGTAAAGAACAGTCTCTTTAACAAAAGGTCTTGGGATAACTGGATATCCACATGAATATCTTTTGAATGAATTTGGACCCTTACATTACACCATATACAAAAATTAACTCAAAATGGGTCAAAGATCTAAATTTAGGAATTATAAAACTCTTAGAAGAAAACATAGGGGCAAATCTGCATAATCTTAGATTTGACAATGGTTTCTTTCTTTTTTTTAGACAGAGTCTCTTGCTCTGTCACCCAGTCTGGAGTGCAGTGGCACAACCTTGATTCACTGCAACCTTGGTCTCCAGGGCTCAAGCGATCCTCCTACCTCAGCCTACTGAGTAGCTGGGACTACAGGTGCGTGCCATCACACCCACCTAATTTTTGTCTTTTCTATAGAGATGGCTGGTTTCTACAAAAAAAAGGCTGGTTTTGAACTTCAAACCAGGTTGGTCTTGAACTCCTGGGTTCAAGTGATCCACCTGTCTCAGCCTCCCAAAGTGCAGGCATTACAGGTGTGAGCCACTCTGCCCAGCAGACAATGGTTTCTTAAACAACATATCACAGGTAACATAAGAAAAAAACAGATAAATTGGACTTCATTAAAATTAAAACTTTTGTGCAGCAAAGGACAGTGTCAAGAAAGTGAAAAGCTAATTTACAGAGTGGGAGAAAATATTTGCAAATCATTTATCTATTAAGGGTCTCATATTCAGAATATCTAAATAAATTTTCCAACTCAGTAACAAAAAAAGTGCAACCGAATTTAAAAAATGGGCAAAGAACAGACATTTCTCCAAAGACATACAAATGGTCAATAAGCACATGAAAAGATGTTCAACATCACCAATCATTAGGGAAATTTAAGTGAAAACCACAAGTTACCATTTCACACCTACTGGGATGGCTATAAATTAAAACCAAAGAAAATTGAAATCCTTGTGCATTGCTAGTGGGAATGTAAAATGGTGCAGCTGCTTCAGAAAACAGTTTGGTCGTTCCTCAAAAAGTTAAATATGTAATTACCATATGACTCAGCAATTTCACTCCCTTGAAACATAGGGATTCAAACAGATATTTGTTTACCAATGTTCATAACAGCACTCTTCACAGTAGCGGAAAGGTGGAAACAACCCAAGTGTCTATCAACAGATGAATGGATAAACAAAATATGGTATATCTGCCACAAAAAGGAATAAAGTACTATAATACATGCTGTAGCACGGATAAACCTTGAAATATTATGCTAACTGAAATAAACTACAAAGTAGATTGCAGGTTACCAGGGGCTGGGGATGGAGGTGAGAGGTGAAACCAGCTGGGCTTCTGGTTTGGGTAGGGACTTGGAGAATTTTTCTGTCTAACTAGAGGATTGTAAATGCACCAATCGGCGCTCTGTGTCTAGCTAGAGGATTGTAAATGCACCAATCAGCATTCTGTAAAAATGGACCAATCAGCAGGACATGAGTGGGGCCAAATAAGGAAATAAAAGCTGGCCTCCCGAGCCAGCAGCGGCAACCTGCTCGCATCCCCTTCCATGCTATGGAAGCTTTGTTCTTTTGCTATTCATAATAAGTCTTGCTGCTGCTCACTCCTTGGGTCTGTACCACCTCTAAGAGCTGTAACACTCACTGCCAGGGTCTGCAACCCTTCATTCCTGAAGTCAGCCAGACCTCTCCCTCTCCCCTCCCATTATGGGTAGTCACAGGTCCCACTATGGTTAGTTCCCATGGCACCACCCTAGCCTCAGTTAGAGCTTAGGCACAACTGTCATTTAGCAGTTAACAAGGAGATTACTTCAAAGACATTTATCACTGTTTAACAGTGTGTCCTCAGTCTCTGGAAGGGTGTCCAATACACACTGGGTGCTTAATAAAAGTCTGTTGCACGAACGATTAAGAGATGGAATCCCAGTAATGCTACTTCCCAGCCATTTGACATGTTAAAGTCACTTAATATTCTTGATCTTCAGTTTCCCAATTCTTAAAGCAGGGTTATGTAATTTTTTCTAGTGAGGTAATTTCTGTAATTTGCTGGGCACTGGGTGGGCTCACAGCTCACTCTTGGATAGAAGAGCGTTTCCACGCTTTTAGCCCAGCCCTGGAAGCCATAGGTTGCTACATCATCCTGGGGAAGACTTCTGGAGAGGTAGCACTTCGTCGGAGTCTGAGGCAGGAAGGCCTAGGCATGGGGCACCACCTGCACGGATGCTCAGAGGCTGGGGCGCTCAGGGGCGAACGCGGCGGACGGGGAGGCCCACCTTGCAGGCCCTGCAGGCGGAAGGTGTGGTGCTCCACCGGCAGGCCTGCCGCGCTGTAGGGCCCATACCGCAAGATGACCACTGCGTTCTTGGGCATCGCCAGGCCTCCGCCGCCGCAGCCAAGGCTAAGGAGAAACACACGCTGCTAAGCAACCTCTCTTCCGGCCCTGGCGGGCGGGCGTGGCTACGCGCGGGGCGGGGCCGGAGTGGCGGTAGGGGATCCTCCCCGCCCCAAGCTGCTCACGTGACCCTCAGCGTCCGCAAACGCGCGCGTTCGACCTGCTGTGGCAAGTGTTAGTGATAAATAACAGCAGCAGCCAGGCACAGTAAGTTCGTGGCAGGCAGCGTGCTAAGCACTTTCCCTGCGTTGTCTGGTTGAATCAGTTTACTATCCCTCGTCAGTATTTTATGTTTTCTGTTTACAAAACCGAGGTTCAGGGAGGGCAAGTTGTGGTCCCAAGAGTGACAGCGGTGTAGTATGGATTGGAAACTCTTGCATTTCTTCTATTTTCTTGCCTGTTTTTGATTGATTGGGAGTATTTTTTCATCATTCCTCTTCCCCTACCTCTTTTCGCCCTTCCCGTTCTGTCACCAGTGAGGCTATTTGGTGGGGCCAAAACTGTGAATTCGTCCAATTCCCTTTTAGTTGCTCAGCTCTGCTGATTGGAATTTGGACATAAAAGACATCCACTACTTCTAGGCATGGCTCCTTAAAAGTCTCCTCCACACCTGCTGTCTGTCGCCTTCTTATCGGTAGCCAGGTATGGGATCCCAGGGAGGACCGGAGGTTCCTGGGGAGACAGACCCAAAACGTGGGAGGAACCTGGACCACTGAGTAGCTGAGCCGAATAGAACCCCACCCATCTACATTTGTTGGTGACCGAGGCAAGAAGGAAACATTTATTCCATAACCACTGAGATTTTGGGGGTTGTTTATTACAGCAATTAGCCCAACCTAACAATCGCAATACCCTTGCAATTACAGCACTTCTTTATTTTCTAAATATTCAATTGTAGTTGATATTTTTACCCTCCTTTTGAATAGTAAAGGATTTAAAAAACCCTTTCTCACTAATTCTCCCAAAGTATGCTACTGTGTATTTTAATTCTCTCCACGTGTACAGTATGTTCTATGATACATATTTCTTTGATGAGAATTGGTTTATACACGATTGGTAAATAGAGGAATTATATCAGTAGAAGTTTGACATTATTATGGGTCATAAATAATTTCTCCCAACACTTAAGAGTTTTGCATCATCGGACAAGAACTACTGAATTCACCAACACAGCTGAACCCAGCAGACTATGGAGGAAGGCAGGACTGTACATGATGTCATTATTCATCCTCTTGATATACTGATTTGTTTGCTTTGGACAGACACTCAATAGTGGGGTTGCTGAATCATATGGTAGTTCTATTTTTTGTTTTTTGAGAAATCTCCATACTGTTTTCTATAATGGCTGTACAATTTGCATTCCCACCCACCAAGAAATATGAGTTCCCTTTTCTCTGCATCCTCACCAGCATCTGTTATTTTTTATCTTTTTAGTAATAGCCATTCTAATTAGGGTAAGATGATATTTAATTGTGGTTTTGATTTGTATTTCCCTAATGATTAGTGATGATGATTAGTGATGTTGAGCATTTTTTTTGTGGGTACCGGTTGGCCATTTGTGTGTCTTCTTTTGAGAAAAGTCTATTCATGTCCTTTGCCTACTTTTTTAATGGGATTATTATTATTATTTTTTAACTATTGAGTTGTTTGAGTTTCTTATATATTCTGGATAATAATCCCTTATCAGATGAATAGTTTGCAAACATTTTTTCCCATACGACAGGTTCTGTCTTCACTCTGATGATTGCTTTCATTGTAGTGCAGAAGCTTTTTAGTTTAATATAGTCTCATTCATATATTTTTGGTTTTGTTCCCTGTGCTTTTGAGGTCTTAGCCATATCTTTGCCTAGACCAATGTCCTAAAGTGTTTTCTCTACGTTTTCTTCTAGTAGATTTATAGTTTTGAGTCTTACATTTAAGCCTTTAATCCCGTCTTGAGTTGGTTTTTGTATATAGTGAGAGATAGGAGTTCAGTTTCATTCTTCTGGATAAGGATATCCAGTTTTCCTAACACCCTTTATTGAAGAAGATGTCTTTTTCCTAATGTGTGTTCTTCATGCCTTTGTTGAAAATCAGTTTGGCTGTAAATATGTGGATTTATTTCTGGGTTATCTATTCTGTTCCATTGGCTTGTGTGTCTGTTTTTCTGTCAATACCATGCTGTTTTTGTTACTATAGCTCTGTAATATATTTGAAGTTAGGTAAAGTAATGCCTCCTGTTTTGTTCTTTTTGATCAAATTGCTTTGGCTATTTGGGCTCCTTTTTGGTTCCATAGGAATTTTAGTATTATTTTTTCTAATTCTGGGAAAGATGCTGATATTTTGATAGGAATAGCATTGAATCTGCAGATTTCTTGGGGTATTATGACCATGTTAACAATGTTAATTATTCTGATCCGTGAGCATAAGATGTTTTTCCATTGTTTGTGTCATCTTCGATTTCTTTCTTACATATTTTGTAGTTTTCCTTGTACAGGTCTTTCATTTCCTTGGTTAAATTTATTCCTCGGTAGTTTGGTTTCTCATAGCTATTTTAAGTGGGATTGCCTTTTCCATTTCTTTCTCAGATAGTTCATTAATGTTATATAGAAATGCTACTGATTTCTGTAGGTTGCTTTTGTATCCTATAACTTTACTGAATTCATTTATCAGATCTGAGAGGTTTTTTTGATAAGTCTTTGGATTTTTCTAGGTGTAAAATCACGTCATTTGCAAAGAGCAGCAATTTGACTTCTTCTTTTCCAAGTTTGAAGCCTTTTATTTTTCTGTTATCTGATTGTTCTGGCTACAACTTCCAGTATTATGGTGAAAGGTGAAAGTGGACATCCTTGTCTTGTTCCAGTTCTAAGAAGAAAGGCTTTCAACTTTTCCCCATTCAGTATGATGTTAGCTGTGGATTTGTCATATATGGGCTTCATTATTTTGAGGTATGTTCCTTCTACACCTAGTTTGTTGAGGGATGTTGAATTTTGTCAAATGCTTTATTTGCATCTATTGAGATGATCATGTGGTTTTTGTCCTTTATTCAGTTGATGTGATGTATCATGTTTATTGATTTGCATGTTTGAACCATCCTTGCAACCCTGGGATAAATCTCACTTGATCATGGTGTACTATCATTTTAATGTGTTGTTGGATTTGATTTGCTAGTATTATGTTGAGGATTTTTGCATTTATTTTTATCAGGGATATTGGCCAGTAGTTTTCTCTTTTGGGTGTGTGTCCTTGTCTGGTTTTGGTATTAGGGTAATGCTTGCCTTGTGGCATGAGTTAGGAGGAATTTCTGCCTCTTCAATTTTTTGGAATAGTTGGAATAATTGGTATTGGTTCTTCTTTGTAATTTTGGTAGAGTTTGGCAGCGAAGCCTTCCAGTCCTTGGCTTTTCTTTGTTGGGAGACTTGATTACAGATTCAATCTCATTACAAGTTATTGGTTTGTTCAGGTCTTCTGTTGCTTCCTGATTGAACCTTGGTTGTGTGTGTCCATGAATTTATTCATTTCCTCTAGGTTTTCCAGCTTGTTAGCATATAGTTGTTCACAATAGTCTCTGATGATCTTTTGTATTTCTGTGGTATTAGTTGTAATGTCTCCTTTTTTGTTTCTGATTTTATTTGGGCCTTCTCTCTTCTTTTCTTGGTTAGTATAGCTAACAGTTTATCAGTTTTGTTTATCTTTTTGAAAAACCAGCTTTTCATGTTGTTGACCTTTTGTATTGTTTTTACATCTCTATTTCATTTATTTCTGCCTTGATCTTTATTAGTTCTTTCCTTATATTAATTTTGGATTTGGTTTGTTCTTGCTTTTCTAGTTCCTTGAGGTGTACTATTAGATTGCTTATTTGAAACCTTTCTACTGTTTTTAAAAATGTAGACACTTGTTACTATAATACTATAAATTTGCCTCTCAGTACTACTTTTGCTGTATTCTATATTTTGGTATGTTTTGTCTTGATTTGCACTTGTTTCAAGAATTTTTTATTTCCTCCTTGATTTCTTCATTGACCCAGTGGTCATTCAGGAGCGGGTTGTTTAATTTCTATGTATTTATATGGTTTTCAAAGTTTCTCTTCTTGTTGATGTCTAGTTTTATGCTACCGTGGTCCGAGAGGATACGTGATATGATTTCAATTTTAAAGGTTTTTTTGAGATTTGTTTTGTGTTTTAACATATAGTCTGTCTTGGAGAATGTTTCATGTGCTAATGAGAATGATGTATATATTCTGTAGCTGTTGAGTGAAATGTTCTGTAAATGTTAGGTCCATTTGGTCTAAAGTGCAGTTTAAATCCAATTTTTTTTGTATACTGAGTGTGGGGGACTTCAGCAACCCACTATTACTGTACTGGAGTCTTCTCTCCCTTTAGATCTGATAATATTTGCTTTATATATCTGGGTGCTGCAGTGTTGAGTGCATATATATTTACAATTGTTATATCTTCTTGCTAAATTGATGCATTTATCATTATTTAATGACCTCCTTTGTCTCTTTTTATTGTTTTTGGCTTAAAGTCTGTTTTATCTGCTATAAGTATGCTACTTCTGCTCACTTTTTGTTTCTGTTGCATGGAATATCTTTTCTACTCCTTTACTTTCAGTCCACGTGTATCTTTATAAGTGAGTTGAGTTTCTTTTAGGTAATATGTAGTTAGTCATTTAAAAAATTCATTCAGCTAGTTTATATCTTTTAGCAGGAAGATATATGTAGGAAGTTTAATATGTTTAGATTCAAGGTTATTGTTGATATGTAAGGGCTTATTTTTTCATTCTATTAATTGATTTCTGGTTGTTTTGTATATTCTTTTTTCCTTTCTTTCTCTCTTATTGTTTATCATTGTGGTTTGGTGGTTTTCCATAGTAGTAACATTTGAGTCCTTTTTTTTCCCTTATTTGTGTGTTTGCTCTGCTAGTGGATTTTATACTTTCATGTGTTTTCATCATGACGATAGATATCATTCTTTTGTTTTCAAGTATAGGGCTCCCATAAGCATTTCTTGTAGGGCATGTCTACTGGTGATAAATTCCCTCAGCTTTTGTTTGTCCTT